CAATCAATTCTGGCACATGAAACACTCAGCTTCAATATTATATCCCACTGGAGTTTTATAAAGTTTCTTCAGGTCATGAAAATAATTTCTCCTATCAAAAATGTACTTCCCCTGATTTTTCTTCAATTACAAGATGATATTTACTGTTGGAGGTTAGAGGTCAACTGCAAAAGCACCATCCTCCAAGGAAGAGCAGTAGGGAGAGAGGAGGCCTATGGTGCTAGAAAACCCAGCTCCATGGTTTGCTGGTTCAGCTCATTCTCATTCTTTGGGGCTGGAAAGAAGGAAGCACTGCATAAAATGGTTGACAACAATGAGTCATCCCTTGCATTAAATCTTATTAGAAATGGTGCCAGTGTGAGCCCGGGTACTTTACAGACAGGAAGAAGTGCTGATGGCTTAGAAAAAGTAGGTAGGGTTGTGCTACAAGGTCACAACAACTTCTAGCTATACTTCCCAGGATCTGGAAGAAAGCAGTTGTCAAATTTCTTAGGAAATATTCTTGGCATCCGTGTCTGAAATTTTCCCAGAGAGGAGGACAACTCTGGTTTGGGAATTTAGTTTTAGGACTAAAAGCACCCATCATTCCCTCTTCCTGCTCTGCATGAAATATAAACTGCTAAGAATTTAAACATACAGTCTCCTCAGTAGGTCTTATTTGACGAGAGTCAATGAAAGAACCAAAAGTAATAACCTCTTTAAAATTATTTCACATGATACACCCTATGTCAAAAGGTATGTGATGTTAAAAAGATCACGGAGTGTTTTGTTCACCCACATACAGCCAACTCCAAAGAATGGTTTTAGACTAGTTTCTTAGGATTTCAAAATCTAGTGGTAGGGGAAATATACTCAAATGGAAAGGAAGGTTTAGGTTCAGCACTCTTCATTACCATTCATTTCTCTTTGTAACAGTGCAGTGATACTAACCCTGGGGATGAGAAAACTACTGTACCTATAGTGATGGAGTCTCTGTGTAGTGTTAAATCAACACTCTTGATATTCTGGAGAAAAAAGGCAAGGTGCTGTAAAAGTTTTTGTTCTGAATTGACTTTTCTTTTGCTCCCTGAATAAAATTCTAAAAATTAGTGTGTGGATTTTTAAAATTTTTATGAACTAGGGATCCTTTATACACTAGTGGGAAAGAAGAAATCAGAATCATAGGTGAATGAAGTGGCCTTGCTTTTGTTGTTTCATCAAAGACTACAGGTTTAAAGATCATTATTAAAGAACCACTTAGAAGATAATAACCTGCACCTTAGGAATGGACAGCTATTACTCTATATTTAAAGGAAATTATGCTCCCATATTCAGCCATCTAGACTCTAGAGTCAAAGGACCAACAAGAGTCATCATCATTTTATAGAAATAGAAAAGCAAAGGTTACAATGAATGAATGTCTTCTAATATAAGACAAGGTTCCTCTTGAACCAATCATTTGTATTCATAAGGGAAACTACATAGCTTTTAGCATGTGTTTATCTGCATAGTTAGAAAATGGTAGATAGCATAAATGCTAAGTACTACAATTATTTTTTTCTATTCTAAGTTTATAGATATTGAGAAACTAGCAGCTGCTAACAAATAGCAGAGACACTAACATCTGCCAATGTTGTATGCCATCTTCAAACATAAGAGTGACGTCATTTTGAATCCATCCCATTGGTTACCATGATGGTCACAACAGGAAATCCTCAGGTCCCTAGTACTTCCCCAAATAGAGGAAAGGTAGAAGAAGAAGGAGAAATATGTAATTATAACCTTAATGGTTTTCTCCTGAAGGATAATGAGTGACATTTTGTCTGTTAAGCAATTCCATAATTTTATATTTTAAAAATAATATTCACAAGAAAGAAGGAGATCTTTGTCTTTTAAACTGTACTTCCTAGGTAAATCTTAATATAAGGAAAATCTCTTTGAGTACACGATCATAGTTCATTTCTTTGGTAGTACAGGGACTCAAACCTAGGGCATTAAGCTTGCTACACAAGCACTCTACCACTGAGATGCAACCCTAGCCTTAACATTCAACATGTTACAGCATTCCAGTATCCAAGCTCCCCTATTTTAGTTCTTATATAATCATCTATGTCTAACATTATAAATACATCCTAAACATTGTAGGAACAACTTTGTGTGACTGTCTTAGATACACAACTTATATTTTAGGTAAGGTTATTTTTAAATTTGGCTATTTGTTTCCCTCTTAGAAATATTATAGAAAACTATTTCCCCTCATAGTTTAACAACACCTTTCTGCCCAAAGCACTGCAGATGAAATAGAGGTATTGAAATCTTCCGTTACAGAGTAATTTGGGGTTTTGACTAATGGAATGTGATTGTCTAGGATGCTGGCTGCAATACTTCTTCAGTTGCAATTAGCTTCATGAAGAAAACAAGTGGTGCTAATTTCCTTACATAAAATGGGAAGTCTTTATAGGTGTTAGTGTTTAGATCAATTCTACCTCAAAATGAAAACAAATCACATAAAAGTATAAATTCTATTAAAATTTCATAAACATAACAAGAAAATTCAAATGTAAGAGTACAAAAAAGCATAGTACTTCAGGGATAATATTCAAGATGATTCAGAGATGACCCTGTACTCTGTTAGCGGTGCTGTAAATTGTATTTCTTTTTCACAATTGATTAAAGGCCAGAGTTGAGGAGGGGGAGAGAGACAAGAGAGATGATTCATGGGAAATCTGACAGTATGTATTTTGCTTAAATATGTATTGCAAATGTCCAAGAGAAAACAGGCAAAGAAATATTGAACACAGAAAACCCAAAAATGTCTTTATACAAAATTTCTAAAATCAAAAGAAAACAACAACAATCTCTGTATGACAATGAAACACATCTCACCTTAAGGAAACCAACTTTTAAAAGTGAATTTCTCTGTATGCAAGTAAACCATTTTTGACAAGGCAAAGTAAATGAATTCCTTATAAAGCAGCAAGGATGGAGTTCCTCAGCCTCAGAATAAAGGGACTATTTTAACAAGAGCTTGGAAGGCAGGAATGATGTCACTATAAATTTATTCCATATAACATTGTTATGTCTATTTAAGATTAAAAGATACTTAAGATCCATTGTGAAGCCTAAGCAAGGAAGCAGTTTAAGGAGGTGATGAGTGATGTGGCTGTCAGATGTACTTTGGAGAGACAAATAACTATTGAGGAAAGATGGATGGTCCACAAGGTACCTTTGCCCAAGCAAGCTTAACCTCAAATTTAGCTCTGGCCCAAAGGTGACTGAGTCTATTTGTTTGAACCCCAAGTCACACCTCATTCAGGTACAAAGAAGGGTACACCTGGTCAAAAAGGAATGCTAAGGAAGTTATTTGTATGAGGCACTATGGAACACTCTGAAATTTACCAGTACTGTTTTTATAAATAGTATCACTCATGTTCCCTGTGAGCTTGATATGGGGTCTTCCAAAATTACATCTCTGCACATTTTATTTCCCAAAGTATTATACTACATAATCAAATGTCTTATTTGAGGAAAAGGGCAAAGTAATCCACCAGCAAACATATAATAGAGTATAGCAAGCATAACGAAAAAAATTAAAGTTTGCTGTAATTCACAAAACTGTATTTTTCTTTTACAAGCAAGTCATGTTGAAAGCATGTCTCCAAATTGTATTTTTCAGACTTGAAGTGGACATCTTGTTGTTACCTCTGACTTCCAATTTTGCCCTGGATTTCACTTGCACAGCAGCATCCTTATCTGTGTTCTATACTATGAGAAGGGAGAACATCTCACTCAACCCATGCCATGGCAACCAGTCCTGCCAGCCAGTGAAGCTCTTCCGTGGACCTTAGATGGTGAGCCTATACTCTCTTGCTGAGCAGTGGGCAGATGCAGAGTTGCTGAGCAGGTGTGCCTCACATTAGAAATTCTGGACATTTTCTCTGGTCCTCATTTTAACACAGGCAGAAAACTAAAAGCATCAACACAACACTCTACTATAACCAAACTTCGAACAGCAGATAAGGAAGTCAGATAAATCTAGGTCACTGAAAAGAACACATCATGAATCTGAAACCATGGCTGGCTTAAATATTTAGATACATGCACACCTGAAATCTAACAGAGCACACAGTCCTGGGTAAACTGCCATGCATGAGGGGCAAAGAACATGTCCAAGCTTGTTAGACATCCCACATCATGGCACAGTACCCCCCCGTCCATCAGCAGATCTTTCTCATGGGTTCCATAAGCCCTGGCATCCCATACACACTTCATGCCAGTCCATGTTCCCCTCGCTCCTACCCACTGACCTTGCCTCATTGCCTTCAAACAAACCACTTTGTCTTTTGGGAACCCTCTTCATTTCAGCTTTTGGTGATTTTCCAGAGTTTACGTCTCTGACTAGCCACCACATCTCCAAACAGCTCAGGCATTACTTCTCCTTTCTACACTTGTCACAAATATAATTAATAATTGTCAATTAATTTTTAAAGGGAAGGCTTCCCCTATAAGCTCCAAGGACAGTTTCTTCTTTCGCCATTCCCAGTACAGGTCCCTGAACCATTGCCTTTTATTCAACAAGTACTGTTTCAATAACAAATATTATCATTATATAATGTAATATAATTTTTCAATTATGTGGACCATTCAAGATGGTCCTCATTTTACAGATGAGGAAAATAAAAGGTCAGAGACACTGACTCAAGTTCACACAGGTAGCAGGAAATGGCAAAACATAGATTCAAGAAACTTCCTCTGAAACCAAAGCCCTAGGATGAAGTTAGTTCATGATTATCAGTGCGTGGCCCACAGAGAAAGGTAATAACAGCTCTATGTCTTCAACAGAACTTCATGATGATAAGAATTAAGATAAAATCTATTGATGTTTTCTCCCTTCCAACACAAAACATATTAATTTATACTGATTTACTGCTGTTGGGAAAATGACTTACATATATGGACTAAATGACTTAAGTGCTTTCTTGAATGTAAATAAAAGAGACTGGAAGTAAAAAGATACTTACCATGATTCCAGTAAGCAAACAGACTCCTTTCCCACAGTATGTGTTGGGTACCATGTCACCATAACCAATGGAGAGAAAGGTTATTGATATCAACCACATTGCTCCAAGGAAGTTGCTAGTGACATCCTGTTGGTCATGGTACCTGAAAAACAGCAAACAAAATCAGCCCCTTATAATTAATCTACAGAGCAACAGCCAAGGACCACTGGATTCATTCAATAAATTCCCTGTGTCTTCTTTAAACTATTCTATTTAGAGGTTTTCAAATCTTTAGCTGTAAAGGCGAGGTTCCGGTTAAGCAATCTGAAAGACATCAGAAAGTGTCTCAACTGTGAAAGAGAAGTTATACTATGTGAAAGCTAATTTCCTCTTTGGTGCAGGATAAGAGGCCTATGTTTATCTCTGTAGAACACTCTGGATTCTGACAATGTCTCATCACTCCTTGATTCCTGGCTGACCTGCCAGACCTATGGGACAACCTCACGCCACACATTTGTAGCAAATACTATTCTCTTTGCTGTCTTTATTTCCCAGATAAATACCTCATCACTCTGCAAAATAAATTCAGGTGGGAGACTTTCCTGTTTACTCCTCTCTGCACTGTCTCCCCATGCCCTCTCAGGATCCTATGACAAGTTTTTTTGGTGAGGAAGGATTTTAAATCAGAAATAAACATCACGTTTTATTTGAAATAACAGCATGAAACAGTAACTGTGGGCCCACGATGGACAAAGCTATCTACCCTGTAGACATACAATGGACGGGCCATATAAGTTGTTACATGGGTGGTTCTGCTGTGGGTATGTGTTCTCTGTAGTCACACAGCAGAACTGCCCTCTTTTGGTCTCCACAGCTGGAGTTACTTGCTTTTTGTCCACCTGCTCCTAAGGTCACCTTTCCTTCCCATCTCCAGAAACCACTTTAGAGGCCTTTACTTTTCTCATTTCTTGCTCTGCAAAAGATGCTAACTGCCTAGTCCTCATCCCCCAAGACTTTATTCACCCAATTCTGCCTTTCAATTTGACTGTCTCTGCTGCTGGAGCTGTGACAAGGAAGCTATCTCTGGCTAGATTCAATCCCCTCTATACCCTGCCCTGGGCCATGTCTGGCTTTGTCTTCATTTCTGCCCATATGTCATGCTGAGGCTCCACTTCTATAATCTGAAGTGCAGAAGGTCCATGAGTATAGACTTCTTCTATGGTATCAGTGGATCTTGCATTCTGCCTTGGATACACAAAAGACTCATGTCTTACCACGTTTGTACCTTTGTCATCTTCCAGACAAGTAGAACAGAAAGTAAGAAATAGTATTTCCTGATACTTAGGTTCAAGAAAGAGAGTCTCCTGGTTGGAGTGAGTAGAACCCCACATAACTGTAAGGAGGAGTGAAGGCAACCACTCCTCTACAGGTAACCTGTAGAAAAGGAAAGGGCTAAAACCTTGACTATTCCACACCAAGGAACAGTCACTTTGTCCTACCTGTGGAGTAGGACATTCCCAGAATGCCTAGGTGGAGAGGCTATCATTGCCAAAAAGGCTTTTCCATGCACTGCTATGTTTCAAAACAGGTTCATGATGTTGAGGTGCTCTAGTAAGCATCGCTTATTACACTGTTATGGAAAACAGGGGATATAGTACCCTGCGGTTGTTACAGCCTGTTCAGGACAGGGGAGGCAAAACAGCTCATTTACTATTCAGTTTATCATTAGGAAATAAAGTTTCTCCTTGACAAGGCACGATTCACACACCAATCTGACATACTAAAGAGTTCAAGGTTCTGATCCCCTGAGGCGTGTGTACCTGTGCATCATATTTACTGAGTGTTGCAATTACTTGCTTTTTTCCCATTTAACATATGTTTTACTATGTGGACCATCTTTGGCTGCAATCACTGCACTTTTTACCCTCCCATAGCAAAAAAAGTGTCCTTAGGTTCTTTGTTTCTAAGCACTTGGAAGTATGCAGGGTAAAAGCTGGTCATGGGGGGGTGCAAGCATATAATTCCAAGGCTGGACCAGGCAAAAGCAAAAGACCGTATCTGAAAAACAAGTTGGGTATGATGGTAAACATTTATAATCTCAGCTGCTAGGGCAGTAGAGATAGGAGGATTGTGTTCTGAGGCCAGCCTGGGCAAAAACACAAGACCCTAACTAAAAAAACACAAAGTTAAAAAAAAAAAAAACCTGGGGTGTGGTTCTAGTGATACAGCACTTGCCTAGCAAGTGTGAGCACATCAGTTTAACACCAAGACCATGAAAAAAATGCCCAGCAAAATCTTCATTTCCAGTTATTTCTGAGTACTACTGCAATTGATCAGAACACTTATTTGCTAGACCTGTGATTTTCCTTTGGTAGCGCAACTAATCACAAAGAGGAATTTGAGATGTCATACTATAAACCAAGCTCCCTATGGGACTACTTCCCAGCTAGTGCCTACAAGAATGTCTCAACTTTGGCATGGATGTGGGAACCTTCTCACCTGTTCTTCTTGGAATACCTTTTGTTTGGCTTTCAAAGTTAGGAGCAGGAAAGGACTAAAATCACAAAGTGAAGCACTCACTGGGACTTTTAGGTGAAGTGACTCTTCTTCACTGCTCGCCTTTGATGAAACATGTCTTAAATGTCCAACCTCATCTGATTCTTTGCCAAATGAGGTCTTATGCCACTATATCATTCTGACAATATTTATTGTATGCTATGCATGGTACACTCTATCAGAGACTGCAATCCTGTATTGAAAGGCCTAATTAGAAACCCATATGTTTCTAAGAGTTGGTATTTTATGGCTTGGGATTCAATGGTAAATTATCCTTTTTACTCATGAAATAATAAACCTGTCTGGAAATAGCTCAGAATGAAAATAACATCCATACTCATGTTTATATTACAGTCAGACATATGTAGTTCTGAATACTTAAGATGAAGTAATTAAGGACCAAATTAGATAATATTAGAATAATTACCTGACTTCTTTCTTGGAAACTCAGAAACAAATATTATATTACACTTATCAACATGATGACATTATTACTTTCAACATCCCTAGGCTTTAATTCACTGCCAGATTCACACTACCAAGAACGACTTCACATGTACAATTTAAGGTTAAAGAAATAGCACGCAAGGGAGGGGTGAGGATAGGTAAGACACCTAAAAAAACTAGATAGCATTTGTTGCCCTCAACATAGAGAAATTAAAGCAGATACCTATTGGCAACTGAGGCCAATAGGAGACGGGGACCAGGAACTAGAGAAAAGGTTAGTTTGAGAAGAATTAATTTAGAAGGTAACACACATGCACAGAAAATCAATGTGAGTCAACTCCCTGTATAGCTATCCTTATCTCAACTAGCAAAATCCCTTAGTCCTTCCTGTTATTGCTTATACTCTCTCTTCAACAAAATTAGAGATAAGGGCAAAATAGTTTCTGCTGGGTAGCGAGGGGGTAGGGGGGTAGAGGGAAGGGGTGGGGGGATAAGGGAGGTGGTGGGGGAAGGTGGGAGAAATGACCCAAACATTGTATGCACATATGAATAAAATAAAAATTAAAAAAAAAGAAATCTATAAACATTTCTTATAGTAGAAGTTTATTTACAGACTTACTCAGACAGTCCCAACTTCCTTACAAGGGAACCTGTTCTGATACACAAAGACACAGTGCTTGTGACAAGTTTCCCATCCTGATCAATATGAATGCTAGTTTAAAATGAAAGATATTAAAATGGTTACAAGGATTGCCTAGTGGGCTTAATTTGCAGGGAGGATGGTATATTGTGGTTTTAACTCAAAGCCTTACACTGGCTACACAAGTGCTTGCTCATGTAAGCCACATCCCCAGTCTTAAGTTTTTAAGATAGAAACTTTGGTGGGGGTTCAGAAGATACTTGAAGTGTTTTACAGCACTCCATTCTTGACAGACTTAAAGATTGTGAGATCAGTTTTAACAGTTTTAAAAGAAGCAATGTCTCTTAGTTTCTATTTCTTATTCATTCCTTCTCTTGTTGCTGACTGTGGGTCTAGTACTGTATCTTACATCACAAATGACAGCTTCATGTTACGTAGACTATTTACTGAGGTTCACGGGGGTTCTCTCCAAAGGAATCACTAGACTCTGCTGTGAAAGAGACAGGCTCTGCCCAGCACTCTTGCCTACCCTCATCACCTCCACAGTAGAGTCCGGCACCTACACGCCTCTCACAGAAATCAGGTATTTCCTTCTGCTTTGGATGCACTTTCTCCCATCTTGCTAGCCCTGACTTGTGCTTTGAGAATCTTTTCCTGGGTTCCCTTCTCTGAACTGTGTATAGCTTTTGGTCAGCAGGCACTTGTAGGCTCCTTCCTGCTTCCTCAGAGCAACCCCCAGATAACTCTAGCTCTATTTAATAAGTGTTCACTTGGGTCACGAAGCATGTAATGTATAATTTGCTCAGCTAACATATCTTTAGAATCAAAATTAAGAAGAATTTGAAGATCAAGATTATGCCTTACTCAACGTTGCATCATTACACAGTGCTTAGAAAAATGCAGAAGGGAACTAGTGTTTATTAAGTTAATTCGTGTGACAATGTGAAATGTGTTTTCAACCTGAATTTCCCTTGGCCTTGGGCTAGGCCTTCAGGATCACGTAATACAAAGATGAAGTAAAGACAGAATAGTGTTTGCTCTTTAGTCACCTTTAATTATATATGTCACGGTTACATCCCAACATCTGTGTACAACTTGTAAGATATTTTAAAACCCACAAAAAATTGTTCAATAGTGGGTGTTAACAGCTGACAAACTATGTTCATTAATTCTCTATTAAACTTACTATTAATATTAAAAATGGCAAAAATATTTCAAATGTGAGCTCTGGTCTCAAACTTCCACCTTTTTTTTTATATAGTGAAAAGTATTATGAAAATTTAAATGCAAGTGATCAGTATACCATATTTTATCTCCTGGAATACCACTAAAATTACAGTGAGACAGTAAAAATATACAAACCCACAGCAACAAAGGGAAATGAGAAGAGACATCAGAGAATGAGAAATAACATATTTTATGAAAATGAAAATGCATTCCACTTTCAGCCAAGATGTAACCATGGAAGAACAGATTTATACACTTTTTTCGGTGGTACTGGGGTTAAACACAGGGCTTTG